AATAAAATAATGCAAAGTTAATAACAAAGTGGTGAAGCAGCAGATATAGCAAAGAAAGAAAGCAACAAAGAAACGCAAAGTTGGTTTGCGAATGTATATAACGCGAAGGTTAGGTTGTAATGTATCAAAACTTAATTTACGGTGCTCCGATAACAACTCTGTAAATTAACAAATACGAATCGTGGATTTTATAAGTACGAAAGATTTAAAAAATAAATTTCATTCATCGCTTCTACTACTACATTTCCCAAGATAAAAATGTCATCTGATAAAGAGTTTGGAAATAACCATGCTAACAGTGGGCCAGCTAGATGTTTAGAGTTGACTTCACAAGCACATGGTGAATTCACGGATGTTGCAGTTGGAGGTGCAAAAGAGGCAAGCACCGATTCTGAAGATGCCCAGGTGAAAAAAATGAAAGAAAGGAACCAAAGGATGGAAGATGAAATTAAGGAATCTGAACTTCTCAACAAAATAATTAACACTCCAACTATTACATCAGCCACATCTGAAGTCGATGGACGATCCATATGGGTCGGCAACGTAGACTATGGGGCTACATTGAAGGGTTTGAATAAACACTTTGAACAATGTGGTTCGATTCATACATGGAACAACAGCCACAGTACCCAGCCTACAGAAGCAGAGGTAGCAACAGGTCAAGAGGGGGATCTCGTTACAGACCATATTGAAGAAACATTTCCTTCTTTGTGGATCTTCTCACCCTTTGTCAATAATGCGCTATATGAAGGATGATGTCACCATTATAATTTCATGATTTTTAGAAAGCTATGATGTCATTATTATTTATTTGTACTTTATATTTTTTTATTATATTTTTTCTGTCATTACTAATGTTGTTGCTTTCATCTGATTATTTTCCTTGATATGCATTTTTTACATTGATATTAATTAAATTTTTTGTCAATTTTTGTCAATTTGTCTGCCAATTATATTTTATCATCATCCTCATCATGATTATTATCATTATGATTATCATGTGCAGTCAGTAGCGGATCTATGGGAAATCGGGGAGGGCCATACGACCCCCGTTGTGAGCAATATTTGTATAAAAATCAGTAAAATTCAAAAAGGCCAATAGAATCTAGAAAAAAGTTATAGAGCAACCTTTTGCTAAAAAAAAATAAAGTTGTTAATCACTAAGTTTTGTGGTGGTGTCACGTGTTAAGCCGTCGGCAAACGAGTTAATTAAAAATTTTTATTATTATTATTAGAAATAGCTCGGGCATAGCCCATTGCCAACCAAATAAAAATCGAAAAATCAAAAGTAACAAAAATAAACCCTTAAAAATTAAAAACTGATTAAGATAAAAATCAAATTGTCATTATAAAATTAAATGAGTTAGCTTCATTAGATTTTTAACAAAGTCATTACAGTGGCAATCAAACAGGAAATTGAATCAGCAACAAAATCTGTCTAGTTAATACAAACACAAATATAATAAATAATAAAAAACCAAAATTGAAGACGAACCGAAACAAAGGGATTTTTAACAGAGAATATAAAAAAAAAATAAAAAAAACGAAAATTTAAATTTATAAATATAGGAAAATAAACAAAAGACACAATATTATTGAGATTATCAGAAATTATCAGAAATTAGCCCTCCAATCAAACATGACATCTCCAAAAAAATTGTCTATTGCCAAGGTTTTAATTGGTTAATTGCGAAGTTTAATTAGTTGAGTTTCTCCGTTAGGATCAATGAAGACTCGTGAATTAAACTTTTATTACAATAAATTATTAGTGCACATTATTTGTTGATCCGTTTGTATTTTATTAGGAGAGGATAATGAAATCACTCTTCCTGTCAAGATTGTGTGGTTAATCTAGCTACCATTTCAATCGGCATGTCAGCCAATTCTTCTTCTTCTTTTTTTTCACAGTATTTTATTAACACTGTTGATGCCAAAATCGTTATAAATTCAGGCGACTCTAATGACGTAACATGAATATTATGTTAAACAAAATATTTCAATAATTTTACAAAAATGTAATTCTTTTTGTATTTTTGAAAATATTGCCAAATGCCCTTCTGTTCGAGACCAAAAAACCAATATTAATTGCGAATTTAATTAGTTGAGTTTCTCCGTCAGGATCAATGAAGACTCGTCAATTAATGAATTTTTTATTTACTACTTTACAATGAATTGTGTAGATTTCACTATCAGATGATTAATTACTTTTTTAGTTCACTTTAAAAGAAACTTACTAACTTTATTATCAGATAAAACATTAAAGTGATAAAAATTAGAAGATCCAGATCGAAGAATCGAAGACACTCTCGTTACGATTCCTCCTCCAGCGACGAATACAGCCGAAGACGATCAAGATCTCCTTACTATGATTGCTGTAACTTTGATTATGAAGGAAGAAAATCCAACTTTCGAACAACGAAAAGAAGAGTTAATTGTTATCAATCTCGACCCAGTGAACGTCACAGAGAAGACGACCGGGCTGATTATTACTATTCATCTGTAAATAGAAATTGACATGATTCCCGGGGAAAATATGCGACACATTCACGAGACGAAAAATCCTCTAATTTTTACCAAAGGACTTCCTACAAACAAGGAACAAAAAGAAAACGCTCTCAAGAAAGTTATATGGCAAAAGGTAAAAACGAACAATCCTATAACAATCAATCATCTAATTACTACCAAAGGACTTCCTATAAACAACCAGTTCCATATGAAGTGACAAAAAATGAAAAACATCGAGGCGAAAAAAGAAAACGTGATGAGGATGGCAGTCCATACGATACACATCGCACAAAAGTTACCAATTTCCTCAACGGTTCCCCCTGTAAATCCCAATTGGATGAGTCCTCTGATGATGCTGAGAGTCAAAATAACGCTGACTATTTGAAAAAAGAAATTGAGATTTTCGAAAAAAGGCAACCACACATTGCGAAATCTTTCCATGAAGTACAGGACTGTGATGAATTTGCTATTTACTACGATGGGGCCGCTATTGAATGGGGTATTTATGAACTTCTTAAGGGGATTGAACCATTGTAACACGTTAATGTTTGGTACTGGGCTGTTGTTGTTTATTTTACTTTTATTATTATATAATGATTTTTAATTTTTCATTATCACTCCGATGCAGTGAGAAAGTCACATTTTGTTTACTCGTTCTTTTTTGAAATCGTGAATAATGCATTGTAATTTTGCTTTCTAGACCTGATTAGAAAAATAAAGTCGAGATTAATTGTGAAAAACCATGTCTTTATATCATCGTCGAATGAATAAAAAACACGATTTTAACACACACACCGCACACACACACGCTCACACAAACACATACAAACACGCGCATATCAAGACTCATCTTCCTTGGCTTCCAGATGGAGCAAGATTGGCATTTTTTAGCTAATATTGTGCTTTTTATACAATGTAAATAATTATTAGTAGATCAATTAATTTTAATTTATAATTAATGATTACAGTAATTATTTTTATTATTACAAGTCATTTTACAAATTATAGAAATACAGCGAATTACTAACGACGCATATTATTTTATGGATTAATATGAAGAAAATTAATAAATTCAAGGACATAAATTTTCTCGTTCACGGCAATATTAATTTTTTAATTCAATTGAAATAATGAACACCGTTATCGAGATGCTCTAGATAATAATAATTTTGGAAATAGTTATAAACAACTGCCATTACTAAAATTAGGAATAACTGGGCTTCCAATTCTGTTGTAGTTGTGACGCATGTTCAAAATGGTCGAAGCTCTTGCTTATAATAATTAATAATTAAACTTTTTAAAATTTGAAATCTTTTTTTTCATTCATACTTGAAGCGAAAAATTTCCCCAAATCTCTTTCGTTTGAATCATACATTAAACAATGTTTGCCCAGGCCCACTCCCATACATCATATTTAGCGGAGGCAATATTCATAGCAACTATACATTTTCAACGTAAAATTCGTGCAACTTGTAAATTTTTTTTTGTTTCTGACATTGAGAATATAAATTCCAAATGAAGAAGATTCACTTTCATGTAGTTATAGTTAAATTTATTGTTTCCATGCTTTCTCTAACGTGAATTTTGTGCAATTTGTAAAATTTCAAACTTATTAAGAATATAAAATCCAATGAAGACGATAATATTTATGTTTTAGATGTTTTCAGTAATTATTGTGATTCAGTAATTAATGTGATTTAGTAGTAATTAATGTGATTGAGTAATTAATATGATTCAGTAATTAATGTGATTTAGTAGTTAATGTGTTTCATTAATTAATTAATGTGATTGAGTAATTAATGTGATTCAGTAATAAATGTGACTCAGTAAGATCTAACAAGTCTTCCGGAAAAATCATCTCACTAGAATCTGGTAGCTCCTGCAGTTTTGTATGTTGTTGTTTCGTTGCCACCATCAGTTGTTTCTCTGGCAAATTGATGGTAATGGTCCCTGGTGCCTTTTTTGTAAAGCATCTACCGGATGCATGTTATACGCTCCAAGTGGTTTTCCATTGATGACGCTATTATCAACATATCTCATGAAGTAACTGAGCTGTTTCTTCTCGGATGCGTCTCTGGTTTCATCAACAAGTATTGAACAATACCTGACCTTTATTACTACATAAGGTCGGGACTGTTGCGATAGACGATAAATTATATCATTTTGGTATCCGGTAAAGATCCTACTCCTCATTAAGAAGATCTAACAAAACATTCAGAAAATTAACGGTGCTGGTTTTGGTCCTGTTGCAGTTGTAAAGTTGGTTGCTGGAGCCGAAATATGCACTGCACATATTTTCTTCAAAGATTGGTAGTTTCTCACTTGGATAAACGTCGTCTCATCAGTTTTTTTTCGCTCACTCTACGGTTCTGAAACCAGTACTTAACCTGACGACTAGTCAGGCTGGTTTCATTTACAATTCGCTCCCTATCAATGCGATTGATATATTGGTTTTGGCTAAATTCTCGTTCCAAAACATTAAGTATTTCAACGCTGTAACCCTCACGGTAAAATTCATCTGTGCGAATCATATCTTCCGCTTTATTTTTTTTCTTTTTTTTTTCTTTTTCATCTGTGCGAATCATATCTTCCGCTTTCTTTTTTGTCTTAGTTTTTTCTTTTTTATTCTCACCATTTAAATCAATTGGGAGATCTTTCGGAAGAAGAGGTAGCAAACCTTCTGGAAAATGTTGCAAATCTTCTGGAAGATTTAACAAATCTTCCACGTGATCCAACAAATCTTCTGGAACATCAAGCAAATAATCCGGAAGATTTAACAAGTCTTCCGGAAAAATCATCTCACTAGGATCTGGTAGCACCTGCGGTTCGGTAGGTTGTTGTTTGGTTGCCACCATCAGTTGTTTCTCAGGCAAATTGATGGTGATGGGCCCTGGTGCCTTTTTAGTAAATTTAGGCAAGATGATTACTTTTTTCTGCGACATCGAACGTTGGTCATTCATATTAGAATTTTTCTGTAGAGAATCTAGCGACAGGAAACTCTTTGCAATGTGGAAAAATTTTTCAAATTACTTATACAGAGGCGTCAAATTGTTATCCAATAATTTACTTCAATAATGGTTGAAACTTTTATAGGACAATTTAGTCCATAGAATTATTACTTTGATGTTTTACAATTTTTGCTTGTAATATTTACTGTCTTTGTCATCTGCAATGTAGTATCATTTCTCTTGTTAAAATTTTCAATGGTATTTCATGATTGAGTCGATATTTTATTTTTTACAAAGCGTATT